TCTGGCGGGACTCGGACAGGAGAGCATCGGGTTGAATTTCCTGGTGTTCATCTGTCTAGGTTGTAAGTTATTTGTCCCTGAATAAACATCTATTCAGCCTATTTGTTTATCCTGATCCTCATTTAACCGCGATACATGGGGACGATAAAGAAATGGGAAGACAACTATAGAATGAGGGAACTCCCTACCCTTGGATGGCCGGTACAAAGCATGCAGCTAAATATGTAGATTCTTCATTCCTGAGACACGGCATCACTTTGTTTCTAAGGCTGGCTTGTGAATCCCTAAGCAGCCGGGCTGGCCACAAACTCTGCCAATCTCCTGTCTCCACTTTCCAAAGCTGAGATTATGGACGTGCATGCCAAGCCAGGTAAGCAAAATGTAAAAGGATACAGAAGAGTACCTTCCTAAAGATACACAAACTGGCAGCGAGGGTATGAGATTCACCTGTCCTCAGTAAGATGCAAACAAGGAGATGCTGTAAATCGTGGTAAATGAGAATCTGGGAAACGCCGGGCTGATGGATGCTTATTCGGGAGAAATCACTTACACCAGAAACAGATGACCGCTGCAGGTTCCCGTCCCAAGGATGCCTCCTCCGGATGCTCTCTGTCTCCCACCCAGAAGCGAGACAGTGAGCTAGTGTCCAGGACCCCAGACCTGGTCCCCCCAGGCCACACCCGCACCTGCCCCCACGCCCCAATGGGTGTGGTCAGTGCCACAGCTGCGGGTGGGCGGGGTGGATATGTCCCTACAGTGCTGCCTCTCACCAAGTACAGTTGTCTCTAAAACAGGAGGGGAAGGAGTGGAGAGGAAGACTTGGAGACCCCTGCTGGGATGCAGCGGGCCACTGTGTTACCTAAGACGCAAGATGCAATTTAACTGCTTCATCAAAACTGGCAAAACATAAAAACAATACATACGCTCCACAGTTGAATACAAAATTACACGTGTAGTTCCAGGAGTATTGACAGCCCTGAGAGATGGCTCTGACCAGGGGTGACCAGGAATATAAGCCTTCCAGGGACTTGAACATCTGCCATGGCTGGCATGACGGCTGGAGATGAGTAAAGTCCCGTTACGCCTGATGGTTAAAAGTTGTGCACTTTACCATAAATATTAAAAATATAAGTATGGGGAAAGTCCTAAAAGAGCACAAAGTAATATGAACAGAGTTCCAGATTCTACTATGCTACAATGGGAATACAGACATGTAAGCGTGGACATGTGAGTATGATAAATCTAAAGCAATCCCGCCCTGCCCCCATTTATGAAATTAGAAAAAGACAACTCTAGCTTGCATATTCTCACAGCTCGCCAGCGATGTCTTTAGCATCAGTGGCTAAACTCCAAAGTGTCAACACCAAAGATACCTTCTCTTAGGACTTTAATATGATTAGCTACTATTCGGTATTAAGTATGGTAAAATTAGCTAAGGTTAATTTTAACATTTAACAAACATTATAAAATTATATCCAGTCTAGTAACATAAAGAATAAACTGTTCTCCCAGCCCAAACACTAGAGCCAGTGCAGCTAATTTACTGAATTTCTGGTTTGTGTTATCTTACTAGCATTGGAGGTTTCTGGTTCTTTGTTTGTTTGTTTGTTTAGGATTAATTTAGGAGTTTTACTTCTTTAAAGAAAGTAGTTCGCCTACAAGCCTGCTGCCAACTAACAATTTGAGCTTCCGTGGAAAGTCTACCATAAATGCCCTTCCCAGAGAGTGAGAGCAACAAGTAACTTATCCATGGAGCCCTCATCTAATGCCTGTTGGAAACAGGAGCAAACACCCATACATAAACACTGAGTCGAACTAGAACCCAGAAGCAGATGGAGAGGAAAAGACCAGGAGGCAGAAACACATAGAGACAGCTTACCTGAACAAGGAGGAGCTAACGGCCACTAGACTGATAGCTGGGAAGCCAGCATGGGACTGACTCAGACCCCGCTGAATATGGGTCTCAGCCAGAAGGGCTGAGCAGTCTAAGGGACCTCAGACAGTGGAGCCAGGATGAATCCCTGGTGCACAAAAGGACTTTGCGAACACATCCCCCATGGAGGGATAACTGCCTTAATCTAGAGACAGGAGAGAAGCCCTAGTCCCTACTTCACATGACCTGTCAGATCTACATGACCCCAACTGGATGGCATTCCCCTACATATGGAATTGGGGTGGGGTGATGGGAGGGGAGGGTGGTTAGAGTGCATGTGAGAGGGCAGAGAGGGTAAAAGGGAGGGACAGAGGGAGGGAGGGATGGAGGGAGAGAGGGAACTGGGATCGACATGTAAAAAATTAAATTAAAAAAAAATGCTTTGACTCCAAAATTTAAGTTGAAGGACAAGTTACTGGGGAAAAGGATTTCTATTTTTGTTTCCACAGAAAATGAAAAGATGTGGATGTCTTCCAGACTAATGTGGTTTGATCAGGCCAAATCACCTGAAACAGAGTACCAGGTGATCCCACATTCAAAACAGCTGGACCAAGCAGCCTTACAGACTACAGCCAGGATATCTGAATCTTCTTCGAATCCCCCATGACAGCGCCCCTTACCAGCAGGAAGTAGCTTGGAAAGAATGGCGCCCAAATTCCCAAATATTGTCTATAAATGTTTTTTTTTCATTTAAATGGACTTGGTTATATAAAATAAATAAATAAATAAAAGAAAGTAGTTCACATTTTTACAAAATAATACAAAAAGGTATAGCCTATGAATTTTTGGTTTATTTTTGTTTTGTTTTTGTTTTCTTCCCCCCAAGTCCCCTTTCCAGAGCCTCTAGCACATCCCCTCCAATTCCTTCCATATTTGAAATGTTAAAAACAGATATGATTTCTTATACTTAAGAAATTCTTTAAAAGGAACTAAATTAAAGATCTGTGTAACTTGTTCACTTAAAAAATAAAAACAAAATGACAACTTTGAAGTACATAATTTGAAAAACCTCAATGTTATTATATTTTATGTGTAATAACTGGAAGTGAATATAGTCCCTTAAAGAAGCATGTACACATGCTTCAACATATTTCTCGGGGCAAATATAACAACTTTAGAAATACATAAAGATTAGACTATATATCAGATCCATCTCAATTGTGTTCCAAATTACACTACATTGAAATAGTGAAGTATTTACACTAACTACACAAATTCTGGTTTGACAACCAGAATAGACTACTAGTATATTCTCAAAAGAAAGTCTAATTTAGAAAGTTAATTTCAAATAATTAAATATTCATGAACATTCTTAAGGAACTACGTAATTGGTTTAAAAATAAACCATATTAGATAAGCAAAAACTGAAAAGCAGGAAATGACTAAAAATATAATCATAGCAATTTTAATTACTATGTAGTAAGTAAGCTACACAAATGAGCCCTTATTTTTATTGAAATTTGATTTAAACCAAGTAAAATCTGATCAGTACATATGTTGGTCAATCTTAAATTTACGTTTTGTCACTATAAAAATGAATGAATTTCATGGAGATACTTCTAAAATTCTTGAATGAATGTAGAAATCTTTTTAGAATGTAAATCTGAATTAGTTTAAATGAATAAGTTTACAGTAACCTCTAATATTTTAACATGAAGTATTAACTTCTATTTAAGTGTTACACTACAAAAGAAAACTTTATCATTAACCATGTAATTTTAAAACGGACTCACTCTGTTCACAAAACATCAGCACAGAAATTAACATAAACAAAACATTCAAACATTTCCAATTGTGATGCATAAGCTGACAATTGTTAACAACTGTTTCAATCTCTAAGAGGTTTTAAAACATAACCATAAATGACTTGTTCGATAAACTAACGTGAATTCAGTTTAGTCAAGAATAAAGAAATAAATAAATCCCAAATATCAAAAAGTATTTCATCGAAGTACAAATTAACGATAGCACAGAAACGTTTGTAAAGATTTCCTAGAAACAAAATGCGAGACAAATATGGTCATCTGATCAGTGCCCTGCACAGCCATCACCAGAGTAGCTTCCTCCTACAGGACATGGGAGTGAATGCAGGGAGCAGCAGCCAGATATGATACAGAGAGTAGAAGACCGAAATGGGACCTCTCCATCTAATCCCTCCCCTCAGGGCTCAGTGAACATTGCAGGAGGAAAGAAATTGCAGCTAGAGGAAATGAATGTTGCCAAGGAAACAAGACCCTGTAAAGGAGCACGAGGAAGCTGCCCATAGCTACAGCTTCCAGTTTAGTGTTCTTACGGGGATCCTGGGTGTGCAGACCGGTGGGTCTCTGTTTCTGTGCCTTCTCTTGGGCTGTCTTCCTTCCTTCTGTTTAGTCCAATTCTGATTTGTTTGTTTTTGTTGTATCCTACTGTATTTTATTAGTAACCCTTACACCCCTGTGTATTTTCTAATAAGACAGAAAGGGGGTGGATCTGAATGAGAGGGGAGAATTGGGAGGAGAAGAAAGAGTAGAATAAGCTGTAATTAGAATACAATGTGTGAAAAAAATCTGTTTTCAATGAAAGAAAAGATGGCGAAATATATTACACACAGGACGTAAGTGAAGAAACCAACTGTGAGAGTCAGGGGTCCCTCAAAATGTACCTGCCAAGGATTGTTAATCCTGTCTTAAAGGAAAGACAAATTATACGCAGAATGCATTTTAGAAAAGTAGAGGTTATTGAAACACAAATGATATCAAGTTGACTACATGAAGGCATTCTCCATCAACTTAATAATCAGAAAACCCAAACATCACAGCTGTGTCAAGCTTCACAGCATCTTTCACAATATAACAAATAAATACTGAAAACGTTTAGCACACTCCACTTGGTTGAACATTATGGTGTGTCTCTGTGGAATCATTCATTCCTCACTGACAATCATACATGACAACTTAGGAAGAGTCTGTGAATGCCTTACTGTTCAAGACAGTGAATATGCAAGCACATGCCTTCTCTCTGAACGAACCAGCGTTCTTTCAGCGTGAAAATGGTCAACATCATTAGAAATGAGTGCCCCTCTGCTTACCTGTATTTTAATGGGCCAGGAAAAGTTGCTGACATACACATAAAATGTGATATTTGGATTGCTCCTGAAGTTAAATTTTTCATAGGAAAAGCTGTCTCTGTATTCCTTTATATTTGTCTTAGAAACTATAGGAGTCTCTTCCCCAGATATTGTTCCTCCTAAAATATGAATATGGAGAAGTTATAATTGATTCTAGGAAACAGGGATCCTTATTAAGTCAAAGTACATAGTACACTGAAATCCCAAGAACACTATCACCAGAACTGTGGTACACCAGCGGTTCTCCTCCATGGTGGCTCCTAGAACACCTCTGCTTACAGGTTTGCCAGAAATACAGTGTAACAGATTCAGTATAAATATCACACTTAGAAACACTCCCTGCAGTGTAGCAGCACTGGCTTTCAGACCTCCCAGTCTTCAGTAATTCAACCCCAGAGGCAGTATCATTCCTGGTTTTCAGACTGCACCCTGTGCAGGAAAAAGGAAGTACAGATCCTGCCCACACACCTCCTGCACACACGCCTCCTGCCCACACAGATCCAGAAGAAAGAGGTCATTCTGCTTACCACCAAAATTACAATCAAAACATATTTGTTCATGTCTTAATCAAATTTAAAAAATGAAAAATATCAATTTGTTTGCCTTTCTACAAATTGAACCACCCTATTAAAAAAAAAAAAAAAAAAAAAAAAAAAAAAACACAGAAAGAGGCCATAGATTTAAAACACTATATTGGGCACTCGGTAAATGTTTAATGGAATTAACCAAATGGAACAGGGCATTTCCAACTGCTTTAGCAAGACCTCCACCTTAATGGACAGTAAAAACAACTAAATTGGTATATTGCGTGACTACACGCATTTCCCATGATCTATTACAAAAGCAGCCCGTGGGCATTCCTGATGTGAAGATCTCTGAGCTCATCACTTAGCAAATGTGGTGAAAATGACCTTACACACTGACAATTCAATGTAACAGTTTATCTTCCTCATAGTTATGATTTCTTAAAAATTAATCTTTTCAATTTACGAACTTTAGTATGGAAGACATGCTCACAAAAAGGTGGGTTTGCTCTTAGCCCTAATGCCAGCCAGAACTAAGATGGAAAGAATAGATAGCTTGTCACTTTTATCAGTAAGTACAGGACACTTTAGTCTCGTGTAAATATCGGGGTTGATAATTAAATTGGTAACTTCAATAATGAATTGAATAATTGAAACCTCAATCTCTTTAGACACTAAAGAAGCAATCTATCTTAATTAAAATCAGAGCATCTCATAACATTATCATTTTCAATGCCTGAGCATTGCACATTATTTGGTAGCCTTCTAATCTTAATTGAATAAGGAAGCATGCATGGTCGGATTAATCTTTCAAGTTACAACTTGCTATTTTTATCAGTCAAAGCACAGGATGATGAAAAACAATGCTATGTTTTTATTTATTTAAAAAATAGTAAACCACAACAACTTCCACGCCCAAACACATGTAGAGGAGACACGCAATTCTTTTTACCTGTTGAGCCAACCGACCATGTGATGTTGAGATTAAAGTTGTTGGAAGCATTAATCGAAATATCCAAATTCTTGTTTGACTACCAAGAAAAAAAATTAACATTAAAAAGGTGGAAATGAGTTAAATGCATATTAATCAGCCAACTGATTTAACTCTGCCCATTAAATATCTGGAACTGTATATGAAATAAATAAATGTTCCACTGAATAAGTACACAGCGCATATGCTTTTTAATGAACATATGATAAACTAATTTGTCTTCTTTAACAATTTGACCTTTTGCTTTTATGTAATTTCTAAGAAGAAAATTTAAGGACATTGTATTTATAACAGTAGTTTGCTATTATTATCATTAGTTCAAGATGTTTTCCTTTCCATTTCATTGTCTTTCCCCAGAGAGAAGGTGGTCGTGTCTTTAGTATGTGCGTGACTGTCACAACTATTATTTTTATGGCTGCGAAATGTGTATAAAATGAATGCAAGAGAAAGCATAAGCCCTTAATTGAACTCAGCTCTTCATACCGTGTGCTTTAACTTATTCTGGATGGGGTGAAAATGAGAACTATTAAAAGTTCATAACAAAATGGTCAGTGTAAGCATAAAATAGTCCTTACTTTCTTAGTTTCTCCTCTATAGATTCAAAGACCAGTTACTGGGTTAAGGGGAGTGCCCTAGCTACAAGCCCACTCGAGACTGATGTTTCTCTGTAGAGCCACATGCAGAGCTGTGACATCACAGGTAATCCACAAGATAATGGCAATGGTCCGTAGACTGCTGGTGGTAATGGGGGAGCTCACTGGGACTGCTTGGCACAGAAGCCCACGCTGTAATGGGTTCTCGTGAAAGTGCTAATCAGAGTCAATCTACAGTGAGATACGCTGAAATCTGTCGTAAAAAGCGTTGGAAGTCCACAAATGAGAAGACATCTACATATTCTATTTTACAGAGCAAATTAATGAGCTTTCACCAATAAGTTGTTTTAACTTTGGAGATTGTCTTTGGTGAATTGTTTTCAAGTAACAGGGATTATACAAGAAAATCTTGCCAGTGTCCCTGGAGATGCTTCTCACACAAGCATAGCACCAGAGGTATGTCTAGGTGCTTCATTGAAAAATTAAATGGACAAGACTGTGTTCAACTTGTGTATCTTTCTAATTTACTATTGATAGTGAATGCATTTGATCTTCAAAAGCTTGTAGAATCACATGACTGTGAAGCAGGCATTGCGTAACTCGGTAAACACTGGATCGGGTCAAGCGTCAACAGGAGTCAATGCTTTACTGCAGTTGATATAGTGCACTTTGAATTCTCTTGCTGCTCAAAGTTTCTTTTCATGTCCTTGTTATCCAGAGAATTGCCAGTTTGTATTTTTGATTGACAGTCTCCTATTTAAATCATATGCTTATTTGCAACAGGATTTCTACTTACAATTACACACTTAAAATTCAGGGGAAAAAAATCCTATTTGCAAGTAAAACACAAGAATTCAATGTAAATTAGAATTTTCTGAACCAATAAGTACAGGGGTATATAATTTAAACCAGGAGATAAACAATCAAAAACACTAACGTGTCATTTGTCTGAATCACAAGCGCATCCAAGCTTGGTGAAAGGAAAATTTAAGAGCTCCAGAAACTTCTACAGAATCCCTCTGTGCCGTACCTCTGAGGAGTTAGACCACAAGGAACACGGTAGAGAAGCCACAGCAACAGTCAGCCAGCGCAGGAGGCGACATCTCCTTACCTGCTCTGGGTTCGCTATGAAGTTGATGGCGGTGTGGTGGCGGTCATCTTCCTGTAACAAGCTGAAGGTGAACTGGTAGTCAATCAGAAGACTATCTGTAGGGAAAGGAGAGGCCTGAGACTAGGGAGAAAGTTGATAGAAGAACCAAGAGCTGGGTGAGGTACACTGCACACAGGATTGAATCATCTTTAAATGCTAGCAACAATGGCGAGGTAGAAGACTCAATTAACTGTAAATTAAATAGCTAACAATTGGACTGCACACGTTTCCTGTACAGGGAGCAGTCAACTACAAAATTTTCAGATGAAACAGGAGACAAACCCATCCCTCTTCAGAGTCTCAAAAATCACATTACTGTATCTTTGGGGGGTCATGAAAAACTATGCAATGGCGTTGGAAACACACTCTGATGCCATTAACGTAATACGCTCTAAATTTTTCACTGAGTGGAGTACAGAAAAAAGATTAATTTAACATGAGTTTTGAATTTATACAGATGGATATAATTTGAAAGTTTCTTTTTACATTGAATTATTGAACCATTCCTATGCATCAAGAAAAAAAAAAGGTGTAAAGAAATAAGGGAAATAGAAATTTTGACATATGCATGTCTAGTTCTATAAAATAAGAAATTTTAATAAAATGACAAAAAAAAAAGTATCCAGGTGAGTAAACCTAAATATTCATTTAAAGGACTATGTGTGAAAGACAGATTCATAATATAATATAATATAATTAAAATAATCCAGTGTCCCTCCACTGATGAATGGTACAATACAGAAGTGGTGGTGGCTGAATAACTTCGTGGATACAGAAAGAGGCTGCTGATCGGGGCACTTTGACCATTGCATCCAGAACAGTTGTGCGTATGAATGTGCACATGGGTACACACACTCACGCATGCATGCACGCACGCATGTACGCACAAATTATTTACAAAGAAATACTAATAGCTTTTCAACTTGACACAAGCTAGGGTCAGCTTGGAAAGGGCAATCTCAATGAAGAAAACGCCTCCATCATATTGGAATGTAGGGAAGTCCGTGAGGGACTTTGTTGACTAATGCAGGATGTGGGAGGGACCCGGACCCGCCCACTGTGGGCAGAGCCATCCCCTCAACTGCTGGTCCTGAGTTGTAAAACACAGCAGGCTGAAGAAGCCACGGATCTACAAGCCAATGAGTAGCATCCTTCCCTGGTCTCTGCCTGGGTCTCTGCCTCCAGGTTCCTGCCCTTACTCCCCTCCAGACAAACTCCAACTGTAAGCTGAAGTAAGCCCTTTCCTCCACAAGATGCCTTTGGTCTCCGTGTTTGGTACAGCAATAGAAACCCTAATTAGCACGGGCACCAATCGCTCTTACACAAAAATAAAGACCAAAGGATAATAGTAAAGGACATATTCATCTTCCACATTAAAATATAAAATTAAATTTAAATCACTTACACCTATGTGACAACTGCAATTAAACAAGTAAATAAATGACGGAAGGTCTGCAGAGATGGCTCAGACAGTGAGAGGCACTGTCAGCTTCTGCAGAGGACCCGGGCTCAAGTCACAGCGTTCACGGGGAGACAGACAACTTCCCTAACCCCGGCTCCAGGATATCCCAGGCCCCTTCTGTCCTCCCCAGGCACTGCGCACAGATAGTGCTCAGACAGACTTAAATGAAAAGCATGCATACACATAAAAAATATCTTAAAGGGGAAGGGCATGTAAGTAAAAGGCATGACAGGGAATAAATTACAGATTTAAACTAGAAATTATAGTTACATAATGATTATTGAAAAGAAGAACATCCTGTTACATCTATTGCAAGACTGTTTGCTAAAGATGATACAAAAGAGCTACAGTAAAAAATAAAATAATGAACCATACACATACAAACATCTACAGCTTTCATCTCGGGGAGTTTATCATACGGTGATCAATACATAAAATTAATACATTGTTTTAACAGTTATATATAGCTAGGAAGATCTAAATCTGTACATAGAAGAGTACTAGACTTTTGAATATTAATCTATACCCAGAAACTTGACAGACATTGTTATCATTTCCTACAATCCATCTGAGGATGTTTATATTCTCTAACAATGTGTTTTATAAAATAAGCAAAAACATTTTATGTTTAAAATGCATGTAACCATAATTTAGATTTCTAACCATTATGTTCTGGAGGCCTTGGATTTTTTGTTTTGTTTATTCTATTAATAGTTATAAAGATGTATGCATATCCCCTTATTAAGGGATCCCCTTATTAGGATTACTTTGTGTCATGTGGGCAGGAAACCCTGAAAATACATTGCATGTCGTATCAATACGAAAAGTTTGTCATGGAATGTGCAAACACTTTTAAACTAAAGACTTTAAAACAGGAAACATAAATTTTCAATGTGTATCAAAAAAATATATTTTGAAAGTACAGGTGTGCAAATAGGAAAAATACTTTTGGATTTGGTATTTGTTTCTAAATTGTCATTCATGTTCAGGGGGAGAAAAGTCCATCAATTCATCGCACAATGAAAATTTTAAAGAATGCCACGGCCATGTGTTTTGTACAATAATCCAAAGAAAACAACAGTATGCTAAAATCACTGTGCCCCCAAAAACTACAAAAAAAAAAAAAAAAAAAAAAAAAAAGTTTGAAAAGGAATACATAAAAAAGTGAAGGAACTAAAATAAAATTAAAGAGTTGACAGAATCTCACAAATACCACTAATAACTACTGATTCATACATAGATTCATTTAGTTCATCATTAATCATAAAATATCAGATTGAAAAAGCACCAAGTCAATTCATTCATGTTCCACTCTTAAGTGACATGCCTTGCCTGTGGGAGGAGGGTGGACTGAAGGGAGATGTCATTCTGTAAATATGTTTCTCTTATTGGTTAATGAATAAAGCACTGTTGGCCAATAGGAAAGCAAGACAGGTGGGACTAGGAGACAAGGAGGATTCTGGGAGATGTAGTAGTAGGAGACTTGAGGAAGAAGAAGGTCCTGCCCTCTCTCCTGGTAAGATAAGGCCACGTGGAAACACTTAGATTGATAGAAATGAGTTAATATTTAAGGCAGACCTAGCCAATAAGAAACGCTAGTAACAGGCCAACAGCTTTGAATCTAATACAGCGTCTGGGTGTGTTATTTGGGGGCTTCCGCGGCAGTGAGATCAAGCTGGTGGAAAAACTGCTCGTAACAGTGGTCAATGTGAAAGAAGGAACACACATCAGGCAAATATTCCCAAAAAGACACTGGTGTCACAGGACATAAAAAGTATCAACAGAACATGGCTATTTCCAATTACAAAAAGGTATATAATTTACCCACTGAAATCTGACTTAATAAAGAAACCACAGCTATAGAGATTCAGCAAATACCCAGCATGCATCAGGACCTGGCAAGTGTTCTACCACAAAGGGAAGAAGAAAGCCTAGATAGTCTAAGATCATAAAACAGGATATTCCCTTTGGACTCATATTTTAGATCAATATAATAATGATTAACAGCAATTTTCTTTGGATAGAATCATTAGGGGCTTTAATTTGTCTTCTATCTTTTTTATGGAATGAATATTCATTTCTTCTATTGCTGAAATTTAAAAGGGTTTCTGTAAAGAAACGTACAGATAACATCATTTTCTTGAACACTGATCTTTAACACATTTTCATATAATATACTTACTCGATTAACAGTTAAATTAATATAGCTACAATCACTTCCAAAAAATGACACCTCATTTCTAATTTGCATGCTTCTTAGATGTAGGCGAACACAGATGTAATTCATGCAGATCCAGGCACTCGTACTAGCGTCACGTGATGCTCACAATATTGCTGCTGGCGTTTGTAACGTCTTTAGCCATTACTGGACTTGAATCCATGAAAGGAAACGGTGCCAGCTTTTACAGAGTGGAGATTTATACACAAAAGTAAATGAGGAGTAAAACAAACTACATACAGGAAAGGCTTCCATAAATGTCCTTCCCTGATAATGAGATTGATGACTAACTTATCCACCATCATGGAGCCCTCATCTAGTAGCTGATGGAAACAGAAGCAGACACCCACAGCTAAACACTGAGCTGAACTGGAATCCAGTTGCAGAGAGAGGACGAGACCAGGCTACAGAAACCCACAGAGACAGCTGACCTGAACAAGGAGGAGCTAATGGGCTTCAGACTGATAGCTGGAAAACCAGCATGGGACTGACTCAGACCTCCGAACGTGGGTCTCAGTTGGAAGGCCTGGGCAGTCTAAGGGACCTCAGACAGTGGAACCAGGATGTATCCCTGGTGCACAAATGGACTTTGGGAGCACATTCCCCATGGAGGGATAATCCGTTAACCTAGAGACAGGAGAAAAGGCCTAGTCCCTACTTCAAATGACTTGACAGATTTAGATGACCCCTCCTGGAAGGCAGGTGGAGTGAGGGGGGGTGAGGGGAGGGTGGTCGGGGGGCATGGGAGGGAGGGAGGGAGGGAGAGGGAACTGGGATCGATATATAAAATAAAAAAATTAAAATTAAAAAAAAGCTACATACATAGCTTTGGCTATTATCTGACGTCCATGGCACATTTACAGCAAGTTTTACTTGACAAGATTCACAAGACCTCCAAACATTTCGTTAAACAGCCTTAATCAGTGAACGTGCACACATGGCAACAATGCATGCCGGTTCATTTATTCACAATTTACACGTAGGTCAGCCATGCGGGTCATAAATTCATGTGTGTGGAGATCCAACAAAACAAGTTGTTGTGTACTCAAAATTTCATATTATATGGGAAAAAACCAAGTGTGTAAGCGAGACAGCTTAACACCATGTGAGCATTAGACAGAGGAAGAAACGTAGAGAAAGTAAAAGCTACAATCAACTATAAAGTTGGGCATTAAAGAGTCTAATGCAACCATAATTGCCCTCATGAGTGAGTCTGCTTTGTGATGCTATGGTGCTCTATATGCACAAGTTAAAAACGGGGAAACTTACAAGGGAGAGGTCTGGGGGGAGTTCACGTGCATAGAGCCCGCAGCTGATGAAGACCCTACCGCTGCATCACCCAGGGAAGAGGGGGCACATTCAGCCCTGCCTGTCAGGCGGGGTCTGGTGCACGATATACGCAGTGTTAGAAAGAGTTTGGGTCTGTGTTCAGCACCAAACCCAATCCCAGGCCAACAGGCCAGAGAAATCCCCATTAAGCCCTCAAAAGGTCAATTAAAAAAACAAATCATTAACAGGACAGAACATACGGTCCAAAACAAGGAAACTCCTGCATATGGACCTAAAGCAAAAGAAGAGCTATCTCATGGAGCGTGAAGATCACCCCAGCTTCAGGGTCCTCCTTGTTAGCAGTGATGCAGTTAGCAGTGGCATTAACACTGACATTTGCCTTTTTAAGCTTACTGCTGCAATCACGTGTTCAAAATCTTTCATTCTCTGCATCCAAACAAAACTATTAAACCTAATAAGCATATGCTCATAAATAATGTTTCTCTAAGACCTACACATTAATTAGATAAACCAATGCCAACTGAAAGCCTACCTACAGTAAGATGAACAGGAGAGCAGTTTGCTTTTAATAACATGAACTAAAGCAAAACTTACTGAGTAACAGAGTTGAGTGCTTCAATAGAAAAGTAATGATTTTCAAAATACGTACAAAGTTAGAACCTCAAAAATTATCCCGAATCCTAACAGGCAATGTAAGTGACCAAAAATAAGTCATCTGTTAAAAACTAAAATAGACCAAAACATCAACTACTTGAAAAGTACAGTAAAACACATGGCTGCACTCCAGGAAGGGACATAAAGAATGGACGGACGCACAGACAATCACAAAGTGACTTTGTGAAAGCTAGGTTTTCACATTTCAGTCTTTCATTCAAGCTTAAACTTTTTTTTATTTTTCTTAAAGTGTTTATGATTTTTAAAATTCGTGTCTTTGAGGCAGTGTGCTTTCAAAGAACCGAGGCTAACTCCAGTGCTTCCTCACAGAGTCTGGTTGGGATCTTAGGGAAACAACTAAGGCTGTACTGTGAACCGTGCTGGCGGCATTGCTGAATCGCTCTCTGCTGGGATGCCTCTCAGTGAACTGGGTGTCTAAGTCAGGAAGTTTCTGTTTACAGCCCATTCCCTTCCAAGTTTCCTAGCTCTAAGGAGTGCTAACAAAGTCAACACTGCCATCTAGTGTGTCAAGACAGTTTCTCCAGCATTTTCAAAGGGAGCCACTGACTGACTGACTAACAGAACACCTTCCCTGTGGCCAATGAGTGATTAAAGGGAGGCCAAAAGGGATTAAGATAAATTCAAACGGGGCCTGGCAGTGAACACCAGTAATCCCCATGCTCCAGGAAGGAGAGTTTGGGGCCAGCTGAGATTACACAGTGGAAAGATAGAAGATTATGATTGTATTTCAATACTTAGCACAAAGAGAAAGAATAGACACCGATTTGCTCTAAATATTGATTACACTTTATACTGAAAATACTTAGATATGTTGAGTTAAATGTTTTATTTCATCTGATTTTACCTGCAATAAAATGGTCAAGTCAGCTAAGTTATTTTTCATGGGAAAAGACTTTTCCCTTGGAAATATAGACCATGACAAGAGTGTGCGTCTGGATGCTCACTACATCTTCTCATCACAGTTTTAAAGGCTAAAGGTGATGCACGGAAAACAAGAAAAATAAGGAAAGGAATTCAGGGTCAAAAGGACGAGCTACAACTGCTCGTCCTTACAGAAGACAGGACGGTTTAACGTAATTCTGACAGAGTATGCCAAAGATGCTCCAACTGAGGGTACAAACCATTACAAAATCGATTACATGTGTATACAAAGGTAAAAGAAGCTAAATGTTCACAATAGCTTCAAAACAAAATATATATAAGGGCTGTCTGAGTCAGGGTTTCCATTGCTGTGAAACACACCATGACCAAGAGCGACTTAGGAAGGAGAGGGTTTGCTTTGCTTACACTCTCACACTGTAGAGCATCCACCATGGAAGTCTGCTCAGGGTTCAGTGCGGCAGGAACCTGGAGGCAGGAGCTATTGCAGACACCATGGAGGGTGCTGCTTACTGGCTTGCTCAACCTGCTTCCTTATAGCACCTAGGACCACAGCCCTTGCAAGGGGTCGGTGGCACCCACAGTGGACTCGATCCTCCCCCAACAGGCTTGCCTGCAGCCCAACCTAGAGGACACTTTTTCTCAGCTGGGAGGGAGAGAGGGAGGGAGGGAGAGGGAGGGAGGGAGGGAGGGAGAGGGAGGGAGGGAGGGAGGGAGAGGGAGGGAGGGAGGGAGGGAGGAAGGGAAGGAGAGAGGGGAGGGAGAAAGGGAGAAAGAGAGGGAGGGAGAGAGGGAGGGAGAGAGGGAGGGAGGGGCATGAACAAGTTTAATTTATTTATACTTAGTCTGCTTTTTAAGAGTAGGAAAAAATAAACCAAACAGTTAAGGGAATATTACAAACAGACATTGCCTTTTTTTTTTAAGCAATGAATTATGGAAGCATAAAATTTAAGAAGTATAAAGGATAAGAATAATAAAATTATAACCTTAAAAAAATTTTTAAAGTAATACCGGGCAATGAGGGTACAAGCCTTTAATCCCAGCACTTGGGAGGCAGAGGCAGGAGGATCTCTGTGAGTTTGAGGCCAGCCTGGTCTACTGAGTGAGTTCCGGGACAGCTAAGGCTGTTACACAGAAAAACCCAGGCTCCAAAACAAAACAAAATTTTAAAGTAAACAATAAATAAATAAATAAATAAAATATGTGGGCCAGAGTAACTAAAATAGTAATGAAACTATAGCTACTCATTTACCTGAAGCTAACAATATAAATCAATTACAAAAACATAAAAATACTTACAATAACACGTCCCCCTGAGTGGATTACCAACATAGCGATTTTCAGAGTCACATCTGTAGAAACATGAGGAAGTTACTTACTACTAAACAATGTAATGTGTTACAACCACATCATAAATTGAATTTTTAAAAATAAACGTGCAAAGTAATTGAGTGCAGAAATCCTAAGGATAGATAAGCACAAGTGGACAGAAAATGTTTCTGACAAGGCCCATCGGCCCAGGTGATCCGACAGAGTGACCAGAGGCAGTTGTGACAGGCACCAGGCAACTTAACCTACTTTACTAATGCAGCAAGTTCTTGACAGTTATTTTTAAGTACAAGAAAGGCGAGGACATGCATAAAAACCCTATTTCTTTCTTTGTAGTATTATCTAAATTTAAAAACTTCTGTCTTATACAACAATGAACCTTTACTTTTAAAAACAGAGTACCAGGTGATCCTACATTCAAAACAGCTGGACCAAGCAGCCTTACAGACAACAGCCAGGATTTCTGCATCTTCTTAGAATCCCCCATGACAGCACCCCTTACCAGCAGGAAGTAGTTTGGAAAGAACGACGCCCAAATTCCCAAATATTGTGTATAAATGTTTGTTTTCATTTAAATGGACTTGGTTATATTAAATAAATAAATAAATAAGCCTCAGAGTGCATCTATTATCAGTGTCTATCCTACATGAACATAAATGAACACACACACACACAGCTTACACGTATGAGCACACACATGCATCTATCACATACTGATATCTCTCTCGTGTACATGTGTACATGCACACACACACACACACACAGGTTCTCTCAATTGTGTTGCGAAGTTTCTTTTTTTTTTTTCTAAATCGATAGACTGGAGTAAAATAGACTAACATGACCTAAGATGAAGAGCTTGAATTCTTGAGCTGTCATGGGGTTATTAAAAAATAGATACATATGAAGACTCTAGCACATGAACTCCAAGTTAAATACTTTGAAACTAATAACAACAGAGAAACGGGAATTTTTCAAAAAAATTTTATTTTTCCTGGCCCTGTTTCCACAAAAAAAAATTGAATTGATTATCGGTTTATTTGCATAATTCTACTTCTTGAAATACCTTTTCCAGAATAAATTTTACAAAATACATGGACTGTAAGCAGGGAACCCTGTGAAAAGGAGGCGGATCACCGAGTTTTCTATAAGACCGAGTCTCCTGCTAGTGTCGAATGCTTCACCCACAGAGGCCAGGCCAAAGTGGCCCAGTGTCTTACTTAGGTCTTCTGCTGCTGTGAGGAAACGCCAGGACCAAATCAACTTGGGGAGGAAGGGGTTTATTTGGCTTCCACTTCCAAAGCCTTATTCATCGTGGACAGGAGCTCAAACAAAGCCCAAACCTGGAGACAGGAGCTGTTGCTATGGAGGGGCGCTGCTTACTGGCTTTCCCCTGCCTTGCTCAGCCTGCTTCCTTAGAGAAGCCAGGACCACCAGCTCAGGGATGATACCACCCATAATGGACTAGGTCATCCTACATCCATTACTGGTGTTCATGCGTGCTGTGAGATCATGAGAGACACTTTCTTCTAAGGTTTATGGCATCTAAAAATGCCAGCCAAGTTTACAGGTCTTAGAAACGCTAGGCTTCACACTTTAGAGTCATTTATACATTTATACATCACTGTATAAAAATGACAGCTTCTTGCCAAGCTCCATCCTCCTAATGGACCACCACTATGATTCTGAGTGCTCGGTTCAGCACATCAGGACAGTTACTACCCCACTTCCCAGCAGAATCATCGTGGTATTTAGTGCCAACTGACACTCACCCAACCAAGTCTGAACTCTCATCATGATGTTCCTTATCTAGAGCTACTATGAACAGCAAGTTCCTCGGACAGGATGACCTCAACAGAAGGACTTGGTGGTGCACACATTCAGAGCAAAAAATTTCATTGCGGCCAGGAGTTGGTGGCGCATGCCTTTAATCCCTGCACTTGGGAGGCAGAGGCAGGCGGATCTCTGTGAGTTTGAGGCCTGCCTGGTCTACAGAGCTAGTTCCAGGACAGGCTCCAAAACCACAGAGAAACCCTGTCTTGAAAAACCAAAAAAAATAAAAAAATAAAAAAAAAAAAAAAAAAATTCCATTGCGTACATTATTTATCCATTCATGTGGGCTGCCCCATTTCCTGGATACTGTGAATAGTGTACATCCTTGTAAGTAACTTAGTCCTTCAGGTACACACCTTAAAGAACAGGTGGGTTATACGGCAGCTCTGATGGCAGCTTTAGGAGGAACTTCCTCACCGATCTCCTTCACCACTACACAAGCTTACACTCCCATCAGCATCAAGAAAGGGATCCTTTCTCTCCATGTCCTTGCCAGCATTTGTCATCATGAGTTTCTCTGAAGAGAGCGGCACTGGCTGGAGTGAGCCAGACGCTTATATTTTCCTGATGGCTAAGGAGGCTACTACTTTGTGAAGTGCCTATTGGCCGCCTGTATCTCTTCAGCTGTTGAGTTTAGCAGTCGCTTTTGTTTCAAAGTTACCATTTGTCAGCACCATTTACCTTGGGAAAAGGTTAGATTAAGCATTGTCATTACTGTGGCAATATGTATCCATTTAAAGAGATGGTTTTATGATTTGTTTGTCCCATACTTCATTCGTTTGAGACTGCGGAGCCAAGACTTGGCCTTAAATCCTCTTTGTGGCTATGACTGGCTAAATGTGTATTCAGTCACAATATTCACCCTTGGCCTAACAGGACTGCCATTCCCTCCCACCCTCTCTTTCTCAGTTAACAAGCTGAGGGACAGTGGTTTGCATTTTAATGAGGCTTTTCCTTCTTCTGTCCTTCCATGATGTCTCCTCTCTACATCCATGAGCAGACCCTGGAAATGCCAAGACCATGTCCATTTTTATGTCTGTGTTGTTTCTGGAGCTACTACCACTGTCTGCTGTCTTCTTCAGCCAGGAAAACGATACCCTTCCTTCATATTCCAACGCGAGTGCTCTGTGCTGAGGACACACGTCTTCATCGTCACTGAATCCCACCTCAGAAGTCACAGAGAACAGTAAATACTCTGCTGAGAGTTTGGAGCCTGATGCCATGGGTCCTGGAAGTTGTCCATTCAGACAAAGGACATAGACAGATACATGGCTACATGGCCAATGCAAGCAATGACCTGGACATAAAAGGAACCAATATCACTTGGGAAATTTCAAAGACATGTAGCAATTGCTGACACATCTACAGAAGAAAGAAATTTATCCTTGGGAAAAAATGATTCGTGGTGTTCTAGGTCATTAAATATAAGAAATCTATGTGTTTCCCTGTGGTGATTATAATACTAGCAGCATGAAAGGTACTTTAGCAAAACCCTCATCAATTTTGCTTACTAACACCATGCACTAATTTAATCACCGTTTGCTTATTTGGATGACTTTCTTTGCTCCTAGTAAAAGAATTTTCCAATAGAACCATGACATAGCAACAATTATTTTGAAAATGATGACTTTATTTTTACTAGCCCCACCCAAAAGTTTAAAATGTACTGAACAGCCACTTAAGATTCCTCTGCTGAGAATTGTTTTGATCTGTACGAAATTTTTAATGGGATTACTTGGTTCTTTGATATCTAGTTTCTTGAGTTCCTTATATATTTGGGTATTAGCTGTCTGTTGGATATGGAGTTATTGAAAATCTTTTCTCAATCTGTGAACTACCGCTTTGCCCAACCGATGGTGTCCTTTGCCACGCAGAAGCTCTTAAGTTGCATGAGTCCCCATTTCCCTTCTATTAGATCCGGTTGTCTGGTTTTATGTTGATGTCTTTGATCCACTAGGCCTTCAGTTTTGAGCAGGGTGACAAACAAGGATCCATTTGCATTCCGCTACATGTCAACGCCCAGTAATGCCAGCAACGCTTGTTGAATATGCCTTCTTTTTCCCAGTGTGTATTTCCAGCTTCTTTATCAAAAATCTACAAAGTTCCAGGGCAGCCAAAGATAGACATAGAATCCCTGACTCAAAACAAATAAAATAAAAAAAAAAAATAAAAAAGAATAGAGTACATTTGTAAAAGCCACATAAAGATGGAAAATACACAGAGTGTCTGGATACTGAATGTTATTGTGTTGTCTTTGAATTGTTTGCTGAGGAAGTAGCAACAGCTACCAAAAGACATTTGATTATAAATGCTACTGAATTAAGCCAAACCTATATATTTTGAAAATGCCTTGACTTCAAAACTGAAGTCTAAGGGCATGTTACTTTGGAAAAGAAGTTTTGCCTTTGTTTATACAGAAGATGAAAAGCTGTGGGGTGGATTCCTTCCAGACTAAAATGGTTTGATCAAGCAAGACCCCCTGAAGCAGTGCCCTGGGTGATTCAACATCCAAGACAGCTGGGACAATGCAGCCTCACAGACAACTACAGCCAGGATTTGACCGGGGCTCTGGGTTTTCTCAGGATCCCATGGAATTGACAGCTCCTTCAAACAGCAGGAAGCAGTTTGGAGAGAACAATGCCCAAATTCTCAAATATTGTTTATAAATGCTTGTTTTCAGGTCAGCTGTCTCTGTGGGTTTCTGTAGCCTGGTCTTGTCCTCCCTCTCTGCATCTGGATTCCAGGAGTTCAGCTCAGTGTTTAGCTGTGGGTGTCTGCTTCTGTTTCCATCAGCTACTAGATGAGGGCTCCATGATGGTGGATAAGTTAGTCATCAATCTCATTATCAGGGAAGGACATTTATGGTAGCCTTTCCACTGTTGCTCAGATTGTTAGTTGGGGTCAGTCTTGTAGGTCTCTGGACAGACCTGAACAAGGGGGAGCTGGGAAACAAGCATTGGACAGCCTCAGACCCCCGAACGTGGGTTTCAGTTGGAAGGCCTGGGCAGTCTAAGGGACCTCAGACAGTAGAACCAGGATGTATCCCTGGTGCACAAAAGGACTTTGGGAGCACGTTCCCCATGGAGGGATACTCCATTAACCTAGAGACAGGAGAAAAGGCCTAGTCCCTATTCCAAATGACTTGACAGATTTTGATGATCCCTCCTGGAAGGCATCACCCTTCCTGTGGAGTGGGGGGGGGGATGAGAGGGGGTTTAGGGGCATGGGAGGGAGGGAGAGGGAACTGGGACCAATATGTAAAATAAGAAAAAATTTTAAAAAGTTTGTTTTCATTTAAACTGGGTTGGTTATAAATGCTTAATGATCACAGTCAATCTCTTTCTAAAGAGAAAAGGGGAATATGATACAGAAATGAATACTTTGCATTGGTATGGATTTTGGTTTACTGACAAAATTTAAGATCAATTTTGTTATATTATATTTCTACTCTTGTTTAGGCAATGAGTTTATACAGCTCTTTTTAAAATGTAATATATAATTAAGGTCAATTATAGATAGTTACCCACAATAGTCAGAAGTTAGTTAGCTTTTCTAGATATATATAGATATATTTCAAGTGGATAGGAATTCTTCAAAACCTTAAAATGGTTTATTGGGGTTTTCCATGACAATAAGACACAACTGCTCCTGGCAACACCAATTACATCAGAGAGGAAGATGGGCATCGAAGAAACTCAGTATGGAGTTCGCCTTCAATGTGGCAAAACTGGCCTATTGGGCAAATAACTGTCCTTGCCTCAACTGCTGGCAGTAAGCACACTGTCCAAGCTGGACAAGCAGGTTACATAGGAAAGTGACTGCTGAACTTGCCAAGGGACAGGATGGTCCTTCAAGGTTCCTGCCTTACAGAAGAAAGCAATGGGTGAACTTCGCCAACACAAGACAGAACAGATCTTCAAATTTCCTGCTTCACAAAAAAGTCTGCCAGATGCTATGGCCTATGGGTTAAAGATGGATACCCAAAGTTACAGAGAAACTTTGGCATCAAGATGTCTCTGTCAATTCTAGAGTTTATATATTATCCTTCTGGGGTCTTTGATGGAGTTGAAGACAGATAGTTACAATTATAGTTTTCCTTAATTATGACAAAAGATAAGGCACATATAAATCCTTAGACTCACAAAGATAGGACAGATGATAGAATATTTCCTTTCAATTTTTCCAAATGTAAATAGACTAAATATTGTAACTATAATTCTTACTTGATAACTTTTTTATACATACTTTTACTATGTTAAAGTTAAAACCTTCCTTTTGACTTAGACAGATATGCTGTGAATATATGTTTCTCTTATTGGTTGATGAATACCCATGGACAGGCAGGATTTAGCCAGGCAGGAAATGCAAACAGGGATAGGGAAAGGTAGTAGATGGGGCCAGAGAGACACCATGTAGCTACTGGAAGGTACTCCCCGCCCAGGGAGGGGGCATTCTCTAGTAAGCCAAGACCATATGGAGATACAAAGATTAATAAAATGGGTTAATGATTAATAGAGAGCTAACAAATAAGAAACTTGAGTCATCAGCCAGTTTATGACTAATACAAGCCTCTGTGTGTTTATTTGGGACTAAATGTCCACAGGACCGGGTGAGACAGAAACTTCCATGGACAGGAGTGTAAGGAGTCTAAACTGGCCCTCTTTTACAGCCAAACAAATCTTCCAGTGGTAGCACTGGGTTGTATTCGGGTGAGCTGTCGGCCAAGGCAGTCCTGTGGAGATCCCTATACAACTCAGGCTGATGTTAGCACAACATCCATTCGGCTCATCGAACATAGAAAGATGGAGCTGGTGTCTGCACCCAACATTCTAGTCTCTTCGTCATGGGAAGGTACTCTGCAAGCTACTGAAAGAAAAACCTAGACATCAAGCCAGCCGTAAAACCCTTGACCTACAATCCGTTCAGCCTGAAAGCTATGCCAGTGTGCTTATGGGAATGACCAATCAATGTCCGGGTTAATTTGTGGCCCATGCCATGAGAAGGAGCCCATGACCTATACTGCCTGAATGGCCAGGATCCAGAGACTAGATAGCCCAGAGACCTAGGGTAGAACCAAATGCAACAGGCCAAAAAAGAAAACGAAATCAATAAAATGATTCCTAATGACGTTCTGCTATAAACCGCAGATCAATGCCTCGTCCAGTCATTCGAGAGACTTCCTCTGGAAGCAGATGGCAGCGGGTGCAGACACACAAATATTATGTGCAGGATCGAACCTGGAGGTCTCTGTTGAATCCCTCCCCTCAGAGATCAGAGATTCCCTGACGAAGGGAACAAAGATTGTAGGAGTCAGAGGGGATGGAGGCCACCGGGAGAACATGTCCCATGAGATGAACTCAGCAGGGCTCACGTGGGCGCACGAGACAGAAGCAGCAAAGCACGGAGCCTGGTTAGGTTGGCGCTTCTGTGGGGCCCCTAACAGTGGGAACAAGTGTGTCTCTGACTCTGTACCCGACTCCTGGGACTCTTCTACTCCTATTGGGTTACACAGTCCAGACTACACGAGAGCTTTGTCTTGTCTCATCGTATCTTGTTTCGTCCTCTCTGGCTGTTGTCTCTTGGAGGCCTGCCCTTTTCTGAAGGGAGTCAGAGGGGGAGTGGATCTGGGGAAGGAGGAGGTGGAGAGGAAGTGGGAGGCGGTGAAGGGCGGGGAAACTGAGGCCAGGATGTATTGTATGAGAGAACGCTCTATTTTCAATCTTTAAAAGAATTAAATGAAGAAATGCACTTGCATTCAAAAAAAGTACTGAAGAACATCATATCTATGTATACGATCTACAAATTATTCTTCGCAAGTTGGTATTCCAATGCCTCTTTAGAAAAATATATAAATTAGATCAGAGGCAAAAATTTTTTGTGATTCAAAACTATGTATTTCAGATAAAATGTATATGTTTGACCCGTTACCTGTATTAAGCTGAGCTTATCAGCTCCTAGGTAAACAAAAACACGTTCTTAAGATGCCAAATAGAAGTAACTATTAAAGGGCTATGTGGTTGAATCACTCATGAAAAACTGTAATGATTATTTTAAGTTCATAGTCATGGCTGTAACTAACATCTTGCTTTTGGCTGTGATTACCAACCATGGGTCCACAGGTGTTGCCTTCATTGCCGTAATGAGATAAGGATGCTTATGACCTGGTATATAATTTGAGGGTGTGAATCAGAGGACTGCGAGGTGTAAACACAGTTATAGTCTCTGTTTACGAAATTATTAAGGTGGTCATACGGAAGCTTTAAACTCTCCTAAGCAGGGGTCTGTGAAGATTCACCAGCCTCATAACAAAAGAAAACAAATATTACTGTTGCAGAACACCAGAGGCATCCCTCCTACCACAGAGCGTAAGCCTCTGGCTTAGTTTTTTGCTCACAAGGCCTCAGAGGAACTGACTTTTAAGTATAGGGGTATTATAGATAAGAGACTACCTGGCTACTCAAGGCTTCTCTGAACTGGAAAGTCTATGATAGCCAAAGATATCAAATACATATAAGGAAAAGTTGGTTTCTGTGTTTAAGAGATTCTTTAGATATAAATTTTAAATATTTACAATTTAGAGAATTCTTTATTAAATTTTTCTCGATAATTACATATATAACATAATGGAAACATGATTTTTCTCAATAAATGTTCATGAAAAATAAGCATGTATTTGTACCTAGTTAACAAAACTGATTTCAATGTACTGTACATGGATAAAGGAAAGAAAACTAATTTAGATGCATTGTCTTTTAAAGTCATATTTGGAAGGTAATGAAGGTTAAGAAAAACTAAATGATAGAAAAAGGTCACTCATGAAATACAGAGAACAAAATGCGGAGTTCCTGTGTAACGAACACTCTAGAGAAAAGAAAAGCTGGTGGGTTCAGTGACACAGATGTGAACCCCTGAGCCTGTGCACTACATACGTGTCAGGTGTGAGGCGTGTGCCCTCTGTCAGCAATGACCCGGGTGTGAACCCGGGAAGCATGTACAGGTCAGCTGTGGTGCCGTGTTCTCTGCCAGCTGGCTCCACAGTCTCTGCTCTACGCCTCCAGGAGACTGTCATCTTTAAACATCTATTCTTTCCAAAGGATTTGACAATATGTAAATGAAAATAGCTTACAATAATGCAAGCTTAACTAACATAATGCTAACAGTAAAAAGTAAAACATAAACGTGAGTCTTATAACACTAAATCCATAGAAGTTCCAAAAGTAGTTCTGTGTACTTACAACTGGCATTGGTCACCTTTTATCCCTTTAGTTGTGCAGAAGCATTTTCCTGTGTGCAGATGACAAATATTTGCATGGCCACTGCATGTGCAAGCTGTAAGTAAAAAACCAATACGGAGTTGTTAGTATCTTACGAGGCCATTTCCTCATGTCATATGAGCTATTCTGACAATGTGAAAAGTTTGCGACACTCTGTCCAAAGCCGGGGACTGTCCTATGTTGTGATCTGATACGGCAAGTGCTCAGAACCACAGCAGGGGTAGCGGTGCGCACCTCCAGTCCCCGCGTGTGGGAGGTGAACACAGCGCACACTTCCAGTCCTGTTGGGATTATTCTCGTAACTATAACTTCAGAACACTAAATTAAGCATTGCGTCGCACAGTGGCATGATTGGTTTAGTTGTAGGAACACAAATCTCAATTTTCTCCTCATTATTTCCTAACACTGCTGCCTAAACAAGACCTGAGCAGCAAAGAAGACTCCAATAGATGGGCTAACACAAAGCCGGGGCATCCGTGGGACCTCAACCTGGACAGAGAGGCAACTAAGAAAGGCTGAAAGTCGGAGAGCCTGCCCCAGGAAAGAGCCCCCAATTGTTACCTAATGCAAAGTGGTCAGCCCTGAAGTCACGACTGTGAAGCTGCAGCAATAAATTCAGACCGTACTGAGGTCCGCACGCACCCTCAGGAGCAGAGAGAGCTACAGGGGCCTGGGGGGAAGAATGGGCCGGATCCTGCACTCCAGCCGCAGAAGCCATCCGATGGAGCAAACATTTTTAAAATCCCAGAACAAAAACTTCAAGAGTTTCTGACATTATTTGGGTAATTATTTTGATACTGTGTGATTTAAATAAGAAACGCTCCCCCATTGGCTCGTGGATTTGAACACCAGATCTCCTGTTGACAGTGTGGAAGGTTCTGGAACTTCAGGGACTTCAGGAGGTGCAGACTTGCAGGAGTAATTACACAAAGGGCACCATTTCAGGGATTCTATCCTTAAAGCAACTCCTTCTCTGTCTCCGTCTGTCTGTCTGTCTGTCTCCCTCCCTCCCTCTCCCTCTCCTTCTCTACTTCTTATGTGTAGATAAAAAAAGTCATTGCCCAATGAGTTAGTTAGGATTACTATTGATGGATAAAACTCCATGACAAAGAGCAACTTACAGGAGGAAATTATTTCGTTGTCAGATCCTTCCACATCACTGTTCATTACTGAGGGAAGTCAGGGCAGGAAACTAAAAAAGGCAGGAACCTGAAGGCAGGAGCTGATGCAGAGGCCATGGAGGGGGGCTGCTTACTGGCTCGCTCCTCATGGCTGGCTCAGTCTGATTTCTTATTGAACCCAGGACCACCGGCCCAGGAATGGCTCTACCCACAATGGACTGGGCCTTCCCCCATCGATCACTAATTAAAAACAGGCCCCATAGCTGGATCTTCTGGGAGCTTTTTTCTCTATTGAGGTTTCCACCCAATCACAGGACTCTAGCTTGTGCCAAGTTGACAATAAACTAGCCAGCACACCGAGTTCCCTGCTCCTATAGCGACGCCTGCCATGCCATGGCTCCCCCTGCCTCCTCTAAGCGGCTTTTGGTGGTGGTATTTTATCACAACAACAGAAAAATAATTAATGAAGTCACCAAAGACAAGGAACAGGAAAAATAGAAAACAAGCAATGATAGAATGTACTTCAGCAATCTTAAGGGATTTCCATGACAAGAGATGCCAACAATAAAATAAAAGAACAACAAATTACGGGAGAATTTTTTGGAAATCACGCATCTCACTTGTGTCTAGAACATAAACAAATAAAAGATAAATTTCCTAATTAAAAAAAAAATATCCATGGATTTGAGTCAACATTATTTGAAGGAAAATACACAAACCACTAATAAGCACAGAAAAAGATAGTCACTATATTAGTAGTTAGGAAAATAAATGCAGGTCAAATTTTTATTAGATACCATTTATGCTCCTAATTTAAGATAAATATTGAAGCACGTCTTAATAAATACTAAAATCAATGTATATTAATATTTTAAAGCCTGGACTTAATTTATGCTTCCTGGAAAAGGATTATAGTTTTTCTTATAGCAGTTATAATTGTTACAAAAAATCTTGCATACTTTCTTTTTAAAAAACTATCTTTGTTTAGTTTCTTTAATAATTTCTGAAAAACATATTTAAATAACTTTTATGTGAGCTCATTTTGCAAAAAATTCCCCTGTGGTATAATTCTTCAGTGTAAAATAGCACAAATGCACCTTAAATGCAATTGTCTAAATTTATAATGTGTGGCAGTTTTTATATTATTCTGTGTTGTCAGCATGTGAGACCATAGTTTTATGCTGAATAAGCACCTATGAAACCATCAGGCTGTGGCCTTTGGTTTGGGAAATTTTATTTGGCAATGATTTTATAGCCTAGACGCACACTAAAGGGACATGACATACTCGCCTGGTATTTCTGTCCCCAAGCATATAAAGCTGCAGTAGCAACTTATAGCAAAACTAAAACAATCAGGATTTAAAAAAAGGTGGTAGGAAGGTTTTTTTTATGCAAGATATAGACACAAAACACACTGTAGGAAACACAAAACCAAGCAGGAGTTCTACACAGGACAATGGTTTCTGGAGGTTTGGAGATCATGTCAACGCAATCTCTTTTACGGGTAAAAGTATAAACAGTCACGTAATCCAAACTTCTGTCCTTGAGAGCTGCAGAAGATTCCTGCAATCTTCTGTCAACCATGAAAAAGGAGGAACCTCAGCTTCGTGTGCTCTCCTGTGAGTCATCTATTTGGGCACAATAAGGGAAGGTTTGCTGGTGTATCACTCTGAGTGGCTTCTCGGGTTCAGTGCCACAGCAGCTGAGACAGTCATGAGTCTTCAACTCATTCCACACAGCTGTGGGTAAGAGTGCACATCCCGCTGCTGGTGAATCCGTAACCAGCACACACCCCCATTACTCCAGACACACTGCTCTAGAGGACTAACTGTCATGGACGCCTGGAGAACCCTGTGACTGGAAACCCAGCCCCCTCTGGCAGGAACGAGACGGTACAGTTGGCTTCACAGGCACACAAACATTAATGCCTGGTTTTCTCTTTCATGTTGCCAAATTCTTCATGCAAGTTTCTAGTTTTCTTGTCCATCTTGCTAAGCATTCCCTGTGTTGCTGATTTTCCTGTCATGACTGGAGTGAATTTTCTTATTTGAATCCTCCTTCAGTTCATTGATGATTTTTACATAAGAAAAATTGAAAACTTTTAGAAATACTATTTATTTCTCTGTTAAATAGTTAAAATAATTGTATGCATTATAAAATTGAATTAGACGTTCAGGCAAAGTTCTCGGCATAAAAAAAATGACCAACAAATGCAATAAACTTGAAGATGATGCAGGAGGCTTGACTAATTAGAAAAATATGGAACAAAAAAGGATATAAAATGTGTAGAATATGAAAAAGGTGACCATAAAAGTTGAGTTATTTGGGATCATAGCACAAAGATGCCCTGAAGGTATTCTTAAAGAGTTTGTAAATAGGTACTCCTGTAACAATTTTGAACACTACAGATCAGAAATGAAAATGAAATCTCCTGAATCACTGTCAGAACAAAGCTGTTTCTCCTCTCCTACAAACAAAGAATAAAGGGAGACAACTGGAGAGCCGGTGTAATGATTCACATGTGGAGGGTGCACTCGCCCTGTAGACCAGACTGACCTTGAACTCACAGAGATCTGCCTGCCTCGGCTTCTGAATGCAGGGATTAAAGGTGTGTGCCACCGTGGCCTGGCATGAAATCACTTCTTTAAAAAAAAAATGACATAAAATTTCAAGCAATATGTTATAATGTAGCTAAATATTCCCTCAAAAGAAATGAAAGAAAAATGTTGACCCAATAGATGAAATAATGATTCCTAGGTGTGTGGGTTAATATCAGGATTTTCGATTCAATTCCATTGGTCTACCTATCTATTTTTCTGCCAATACCAGGCTGTTTTCAGGACTATAGATCTGTAGTAGAGTTTAAAGTCAGGGATGGTGATGCCTCCTGAAGTTCCTTTACTGTGCAGGATTGCTGTGGCTATCCTGGGTCTTTTGTTTTTCCATATAAAGTCGATTATTATCCTTTCAAGGTCACTGAAGAATTGTGCTGGGATTTTAATGGGGATTGCATTGAATCCGCAGATTGCTTTTAGCAAGATTGCCATTTTTACTATATTTATCCTACCTATCCAAGAACATGGGAGATCTTTCCATTTTCTGGTATCTTCTTTAGTTTCTTTCTTTAAAGACACAAAGTTCTTATTATATAGGTCTTTCACTTGTTTGGTAAGTGCTAATTAGCCCAAGATACTTTATGTTGTTTGTGGCTATTGTAAAGGGTGATGTTTCTCTGATTTCTTTCTCTGCCTCTTTGTCTACTGATTTTTTTTTTTTTTTTTTTTTTTTTGAGTTTATCTTGTATCCTGGTAGTTTGCTAAAGGTGTTTATCAGCTGTAGGAGTTCCCTGGTAGAGTTTTTTGTGTTGCTTATGTAAACTACCATATCATCTACAAATAGAGACAGTTTAACTTCTTCCTTTCCAATTTGGATCCCCTTGATCTCCTTTTGTTGTCTTATTGCTTTAGCTAGAACTTCAAGTACAACATTGAAGAGATATGGAGAGAGAGGGCAGCCTTCTCTTGTTCCTGGTTTTAGAGGAATTGCCTTAAGCTTTTCTCCATTCAGTTTGATGTTGGCTGTTGGTTTACTGTATATTGTCTTATTATGTTTAAGTATGTTCCTGTTATCCCTGATCTCTCCAAGACCTATATCATGAAAGGGTGTTGAATTTTGTCAAAGGCTTTTTCAGCATCTAGGGAGATGATCATGTGGTTTTCCTTTTCAGTTTATATGGTGGATCATGTTGATAGATTTTCATATGTTAAACCATCCCTGCAACCCAGCGATAAAGCCCACTTGGTCATGGTGGATGATTTCCCTGCTGACATTAATCCACACACCTACAAACACCTGATTTTTTAACAAATTGGTACAGGAGACCACTTCCTGAACATAACTCCAGGAGCACAGACACTGAGATCAACAATTAATA